AAAAGATTCTAAGGCAAGGAGTTGGTTACGCTTTGGAAAGATATAAATCACCTAAAAACGCCCTTTCTTAAGAAAGGTACTATGTTTGGTTTAGTCCTAAATTCATCACCTAAAGTGTTTTATTTATGTTAAATTATTTTTTGTTTTAAAGCTTTAATTTTCCAAGTCAAAAGAAAAAAAAATATATTTTTTATTTTTTTAGCGTGGCATCGTATTGAAACGATCGTCGGACCCCTTCGTCGGGAGACACGTCGGTTCAAACATCGGATCCACTTTTTGAGTCTTGACACAATCGGCGTGTCGAAGAACATCTTAGTTATCGAGAAAAAAATAATAAAATAAAATGAAAAAAAATTATTTATTGTTTTTTTTTTTGTTTTTTTTTTTAAATCGTCGACGAATCCCTAAAAAGTAATAGGAGACTTGAAAATTATCGACCTATTGACTACTTAATCAAATTTTGGGCACTTCAAGGAAAACTCGTCATCGGTTCCTAAGAATTTAGGAGACTTGACAATTTCCTCACCTATTAACTATTGATCTAATTTTTAAATAAAATCTAAAAAAATAACTATTATTTTTTTTTTAGAAAAATTCTATTATTTTTTTTAGAAAAATTATCATTAGTCCCTAAAAATTAGGAGACTCAATAATTCAGCTATCATTTTATTATCAAAATTAGTTATGGAAATTAAAATTCTAAAATTTAAATTAACTAAAAAACAAACGAGAATATATAAAAAAATAAAAATTAAATAAGACATAAACATATATAAATAAAATTCAATATAAATCATCTAAAGTAAAATAAAAACATGAATAAATAAAATAAAACAAATCGCATAATGTTTTTTTTTTTTTACAGTGGGCCTGTTGAAGGTTTGATAAGAAATGTCTGCTGCTCTTATCATTTTTTTTTTCAACCTGACCAACTAAAATTCATCCATAAAGCAAGCAACTAAGTATCACTCTGTCCCCTTGGTTACTACATTAATTTTCATGCCTTACTAACCAAAACCAAAAGCATCTTCTTATAATTTTTACATATCATACACTGACGATAACTTTCAACAAATTTAAAACATATTGATATGTCAAAGTAGAGGAAAAGATTATAGGGTTACCTGTTGAGTCTGCAAGAGAATGAGACGTTGAAAACGAAATAGGACAGATAGCTAGTTACAGAACCCCAAAATAATGCCTTCTTTTTTTTTTTTAAAACCTGATTTCTTTTCTTTTCTCTGTTTCTTGCTCTCCCTTTTCCTGTCGTTTCTTACTGCGTCTCTCCTTTTCTTTTCTTTCGTGCTCTCCTCTTTTTCGTTCTCTCTCTGTGTCTTTTCTCTCCCCTTTTTTTTTTCGTCCCTCCCTCTTCTTTTTTTCTTCCTCCCCCCCCCCCCCTTTTTATTTACTGCCTGCTTTATTTATAGGCTTAGAATGGTTGTGAAGAGTGGCACGGCAGTTCGTAAGGGGAAGGATGGCTGATCGTGGGGAGTGAAATGTGAAAGTTGTGGGGAGTGGAGAGTGGAGAGTGGAGGTTATATTTTATGGAGAGTGAAATAGTGATAAAAAAGGAGCAGGAGCTATGGCAGTTTGAGTACGTGGGGAAGGTGATGAAAAATGGAAGTGGACTAGAGACGTGTGAGGGTGGAGTGGGAAGAAAAAGAAAAAGAAAAGAAAAAAAAATGAAAGGAAAAGACGTGTGAGGAGTGGTGAATGGCAATTTGTTACAGTTTGTAACAAACTGCCAGGAGCTCGTGTTTATATCCTTCTTTAAAGAAGGAGATGAACAGTAAAATGTATCAAAGAATTCAAGGGTGAACGACAGGTCGTCCATGGACAAAGTATCAAGTTCGTCCTGTCGTTCGCCCCTCCATTTCAATTAGGTCCTCCTTTATTTTTATTTCTCTGCAATTAAGTCCTTTTTGATAATTATTTTAGTCCCTTAAGTTTCGATTGGTTTTTAATTCTCCCTTAATTTCCTTCCATATTTTCCCTACTTTTCTAGTATTTATAAATTGACTCACAATACTTTTAAATAAAATAACAATTAAATCCTTAAAAGTAAAATTGAACAATTTCTCTCTCTTTGTTTTTTTTCTTTTTTATCATTTATCATTTTTTTGAATTTTTTTAATCAATAAAAAACATAATGAAATAAAATAAAAATTTAACCCAAAATTTTGGGTTATAACAATTATGATGTAATAAAATTTTATTAAATAACCTCATATATGCTACTAAAAGGAAGATTACAAGAGGAGAAAAGAAACTAAGATGAACCTTGCAAGTTGCAATGAATATTATATCAACCAAATCAAAATATAATTATTGACCTTCAAAATAAATATTTTTAAATTAATCTTTAGCAATTGGGCTAAATTACCAGACTTTTATAGTTCAAGGACTAAGCTCGACATATCAAGAGAGAACGAAGACCAAATGTGATGAAGACAGTAAATTTGATCAAAAGAAGAGGAATTAGGTGCGGCAAAGGGGACTTCCTGCAGGCCCAATTCTTTATATTATTTTTTATTGTCTTTTACTTGTGAGAAAACAATACTATTCTATCAGAATTTACATTTTTAATTAGTCTAGTTTAAATTTTGAGTTTAATTCATCATTAAGTTATTATTTCTTTATAAATAGAGAAGTTTTTATGTTGTAATTTTTTTGACATATATATGTCTCGATACACAATCTTAATTTAAACTTTTTCATGTTTTTTACAAATTTATTTTTCACAATTTACTTTCTTTAAATTTATTATTTACAACTTTTTGTCATTATTCTTTCTTTACAACTTTATTTGCATGCTTTGTTTATTGATTTATTCATCTCTTTTTTTACCATTTAGTTTTTAGTTTATTTAATTGTTTTTTCCCCATAAAATTTAACATTTTTCGCAAGTACTTCACAAACTTTTCATAATTTGTTTTATGCAAACTTTTTATAGTTAATTATATAAATTTCAATAATTTATTGCCTAACATAAACTTCGCAGTTTATTTGATGTAAAACTCTAGGTTTATTGACCGATTATATGATACACGATGAAAACTTAATTGCTTAAATTTAATGATGCTCTTTACGGTTTCTGCGAACAATATGAACTGTTGAAACTTGCACCTTGATTTAGTTTTTATGGTTAAATTCAACACTAACATGTATGTTTTATTTGGATAATATTTGTTAACACAAGATTGTTTGGCTAATCTTTACTTATTTGAATTTATTGTGTCTGGCGCCTCCTGACAGACTGAATTTTAAGTAATAAGAAAGTCTTTTAATTCTTTGAAATAAGGAAAATATTTTTCTAGGCAACATCTCGATAAGCAAAATAAGGTAATTCTTCATATTTCATTTATTTATTTGTGTACGTTCATTCCAAGAAATACATCAATATCCAACGAGTATTCCTTAAAACAATTAATTAGACGCCATATTAGAAATGGCAAAAGGGAAGATTACATTTTATTTAGTTTTTGTGCTATAATGTGTCTGATATAACCTAATTAACAACTTAGGTTATCCCCAGGTGCAACACCAAACTGGTTACAGTAATCTGTATAATACCCAATACGAGCCTGAACAGCACCAGAATTTCCACCATTGCATTCAATTGCACCATTAATGGCTCTAATCGTAGCACCAAACCCTTGAGTTACGACAGGACGGACATTAGTCATCCAAAACCATAAGGCAGCCTTAAACGAGACAACAGCGTCATTGGCCACAGTTTCAGGAGAGTTTAGTCCATCAAAGTTGTTGTTCTGTCCAGCTGCCCCGTAATTGTAATTCCATGTTAGTTGAAGAGGTCCACGGCCGAAGTATTTCTTGTTCGGGTTGCATGGATACTGTGTTTTAGTTTCGTCACAATAGTCCTGAGAAGCACCATTTATTTCTTCTATGTAGCAGAAGTCTGTAAACAAGGCAGAAACGTATTGATATATATGTTAATAACTATACGATGCCAATAAATTCAATATGAGGTGCAATTTTTATTTTTTCATTTGATGAATTTGTGGCAAGGAACATAGAGAAATTAAGTGATCTTACGTCCGGTCTCATGCGTGACATGAGCAAAAAAGGCTGCAATCTCACGTTTGGAATCATCATCCGATCCAATCTTGCCAAACTGAGAGTAAGAATTGAGAGCATTGAGAAACGCATCTCGTGTGTAGAAGCTCTTTCCGGCACAATCTCCACCGGCTTGATTGACTATACCATTGAAGAATTCCGGTGTAACTACATCAGCGACAGAGACATCAGCCACTATCATCTGTGGCATGGTTCCAGCCAGCATCATAGCCAGAATGATGGTCGATAAATTTTTTCTCATGTTAAGAGACAACATTATGTGAGCAAGTTTTATGCGACACGAGAGTGAGAGTAAAATATTGGATGGGGAAATAAGCTTTAGAGTGACTACATTTATAGCAGGACAAAATGTACGTTATAGCTAAGGGGGCTGAAAATTCAACCTTAAGTGCAGAGATTTCTTGAAATTGAGCGTGTAGATTACGGGTCTGTTGATTGACTTGACCTGCCATTCAGTTGCCAAAATGTTAGGTTTGCAGGCAAATTAATGAATATAACGAGTAATTTTATAATAGATCAGAAGTAACTAGTGATATGTATAGTAATTACTTCATAGATCCACTTTAAAGAGAGAGAAAATAAAAAAATTTAAAGGAACGTAAAAATCTTCTTATCACTTTTGGTGAATATGGATGTAATTTCATTTTTTTTTTTATCTATCTCTTTTCTCAATGTGTGCTTCATGAAATAACTACCGTATACGTCACTAATTATTACCGATGTATTATAAAATTTCACGAATATAACTATTATAGGAAGTACGCTACAGCAATAGGATATCAAAAGGCATCAGGATATCAAAAGTCTAGATGCCTTGATGTCAAAGAGAGGGTTCACACATTTTCGTCCGAATATTAATTACATCCTGTCAAACGTGGGAGCTATTAGATCATTCGTAGGCATCATTCTGCGCTTAATGGGGGTGGCTGATTAGCAAAGTCACTTGAAGCAGCACCATCTGATTTGGGATCAAATATCAAATCCTTCTTCTACCAAGATCGTGAGGGATAACAGATTATGCGAGAATGGTGGCTTCTCGATTATCTTGTATTAAAAAACAAATGCCGAGGCCTTTTGCTTAAGACCCAACATTGAAGATTCAATGTTTCCGGTCATATCATAATCATAGATAGGAATATTACAATGGGATATTGGGATGTGCTTAATAGGATTCTCAACTCAATGCCATCTTGGATCGATTCAAGCATAATTGGAGACTATAATTTCTTCCACACAATGCGCCAAATAATCAGGGACTTGCTTAAATACTGGCATCAATGACTTGATTGTTCGTTCGGTTCATAACAAATCATCATGGGCGGCTGCTAAAACCTTCGGACAAACTCAAAGTGCAAAATTTCTAGAAGCATAGATGCTAGCGATCAAATGACAATGATGGCTTTGGAATATAATTGCTTACATGAATTTTTATTTTATTTTTCTATAAATATATAGATTTTAATTTTTTTATTTGAATATATTAATTTTTTTAATTATTAATGCAGTATTTTTTAAAAAAAATTAATTAATTTTTTCATTAAATGATGATGTACATAAAAGATCAAGTTACAATTTTCTCCTTTTTTAATTATCAAATACGTGAATTTTAATTTTTTCATTTGAGTATATTAATTTTTTCAAAACTATCAATTAAGTATTTTTGTCAATTTTCTTCATTAATTGATGACGTCTTCGTTATTCTTTGAATAACAAATTATAATTTATTTTTATTTTTTTTGTTGGAGGGAACTTTTTATCTAAATGCTCATAAGTAATGAATCCTTATAATAATGATAAAAAATCTCGTGTTTATATATTTTTTTAATTTTTTTACCAAAATCTAACCGAGTTAATTTAGTTTAGAGTTTTATAACTAAAAAATAATATTTTTTTTATCAAATTTTAAAATAGTAGAATAATTTGAAAAAAAAAAAACAGTTTACTCCAACAAAAAGAAAGCAAATTTGTAATTTGATATTTTAATAGTAATGAACATTTCATCAATTCATAGAAAAATTCACTTGAGTATTTGATTGAAAATTTTGAAAAAATTAGTATACTCAAAGGATAAAATTTAAAATTTATATACTCGATTGAGAAAAAAAGGACAAAATTAAAATTTGGTATTCTAAAAGTAACAGAGATGTCATCACTTAATAAAAAAATGACTAAAGTATTTGATTAACAATTTTTTTTAAAAAAAAATTCATATACTTGATTAAAAAAAAAAAAATGTCACTATAGTGCACTTATCTCTTACCATGGCAGTCCATCCGTTCTCAGTTCTTTTTGATTTTAATTTCCCAACAGTAATATTAGATTTTATAAAGGGTATGTGTCCTAACAAACCCTGTAGCATAGTGGTAGCAAATAGTTGTAGTAACACGTATACATCCTAATTTTCACAAATTACAGCACGCTACTTATGCTTTACAAATTCATTTCAGCAAACATCCTTATTTTTAAATCTATTTTCACATTGCATTTTCTTTAGTCTCCATCCGAACAATAACATCAGATTAATTACAAATTGTCATTAAGCATGTGATAATAAAAATTTTATGACTAATTTACCCTTGTAAGTAATAAATCAACCAGCAATAACCTAAAGAAATTAAATTAATTGAAATTAAAATCAAACCACTATCGCCACCGCTACCTACAAATTCAATTACCGGTCCAAGCAAGACTTGAAGCGCCATTACAGAATTACGCAAAACATCCTTAAACGTTAACTTACCTTTGATTTTTACACGTTTTTTTCAACATCCTTAAATAATCAATTTTATCTCAAGGGAACACTAAATAAATAATTAATAAAATTCATCCAAAAGCAACACCACCACCAAGAACAAAAAAAAAAAAAAGCTTCAATCTTTAACCTAATTAAATTCAATAAAACTACACCATTATAAACAACTAAAACCTTTGACCTTACCCAATTAAAGCATAAACCGATTAAATCAACCTATAATCAAATGCCATTAATTATCTATTCTTTCAACAATCAAATCATAACCCATGATTACTACAAAATTTACAAATCCATTTATTCTATAAAAAAAAAACTGATTAATCAGAAAATCAAAATTAAAAAATAATTTCGAGCAAATCGAGGCAAGAAATTGAAAAAACTCGGCAAAAAGGTTCCGAAGGGCGAACAGTGGTGGGCGAGGGGCGAGGGCAAAGGTTGAATTGTGGTGGTAGTGGGTCGAGGTGAAGGGCGGACGGTGGTTGTTATGGGTAAGGGACGAAGGGCGAAGGGCGAACAATGGAGGTCGTGGGTCGAGCACGAATGTCGGTGGCTTTGGGTGATTCGTTTGGTGGTTATGGCGTTGTTCTTTCCGTGGCTCCTGGTTGCTCACTTCACCAAATTTAGGCGGATTTGGTGTTCTTTTGGATTCTCGTTTTCGGGTTTAGGGACATGGGGAGAGAAGGAAAGACGAACAAGTAAGAAGAAATTAAGAAAATGGTGGCTAGAAGAGGATTAAGTTAGCCTTTTGAAATCTAAGCACCTAACCGAACTTTTTTTGAAAAAATTCCATCTTCATATACTTGTTTTCCTTTTGTAAATTTAGGAAAACATTTTCCTTCTTACGAGCGGTTTCACGCTCTTGTTACGTAACTCTCTCTCGATATATTTTAATAATTTTTTCTCTATCTTCTTTTTATTTAAAACATATCATATTAATTTTTAATTATTTCTTATCAATTATTATTAATTATTTAATTATTTTTTTCTCTATCTTTACTAATATTTGATTTTTTTAATTTATAGATACATTAAATAATCTTAAAAATCATTTTTACACCTTAAAATTATTTTTATAATAAATATTTCAATAACTTACCTCTTTTTTTTTACTATGGTCTCAATTACTACCTAAACTATAGTTAAATGATTGAAAATGATTATTACAAGACTATAATTTTTTGTAAAAAGAAATTAAAATTAATTAATTCATCAATAAATACATTATTTTTTCAACACTATTCATTTGCAATTAAATCAATAATTATAATTTTAATCAATTGTAAAATTTTTTTGGTAATTGTAATGAATAATTAGTTACAAATTATTCCAACATTAATATTTTGAAATCAAATAAATAATTATCTATAGATGATAACAAATAATTTATAAAATTATTTTTTAGACTAAATTATCAGTTCAATTTCTTTAAAAAAATTTTTTTAATTGAGTTACTAAAATGATAAAGCTAAGATTACTTTGAATCTTTTTTTACTAAATATGAATATTGACTTAATTTTTTTCCAAGTAATTTTGATAATTTGGTTTGATTGTTAAAAAAGTATATTTTATTTTTTGAATTAAAATTTTAGAGTTAGTATTGATGAAAATTTATTAAATTTTCTAAATGTATCTTATATTATGAAATTATTAATATGTCTTTTTAAAATTTTCTCAAAACTTATTGATATAACAATCACATAAGTTTTTGTATTTTAATTTTCTATATTAAACAAACGTTGGAATATATTTTTCAGTAGTTTTTTCATATAATTGCCAAACAACAAAAAATATGTTCTTGGAAAACAATTTTCAAGAAAATAGCTTCCTTAGAAATTGGTTTTCCTATGAAACTTGTTTTCCCGCAAACAAACATAGCGGAAATAATCCTAATGGTGGCCGGATATTGTGATGATCCAAGTTGTTGAGGCAACTGGAATTTTTTAGAAAAGTTCATTTCAATCCTGCTATGTCTAAGAAATGCAATTTGGTTCCTTTATGGCAGCATAGTTAATGGGAGTAGCTGATGTGGCAAATTGATCAACCCTTTTCAATTTCAACATCAATCGACCAAATTTGAAAGACGAGAGGTAAGATGATAATTTACTATAAATATGAGGGGCAAAACGATAGCTTTGCCCTTTTGTTTTCTCTATATATATAAAGTATAAAGTAAGGACATAATTCACGAAATTTTTAAATTAAAGGCCAAATGCAGCGACTTTCAAAAGTTGTGGAGAATGATTTTTGAGTTTTGCCCAAATATGATTATTTTGTTCTGGATTGATTGAGTTTTTCTACCTTTTATTTTTATTTTTTTCATCTTTTTATTGTAACGCTGTTGTTCGTGAGATGACGTGAGACGTCCACTTTGAATGCATAATATGATAATACATAAAATCCTAATAAAGAAAATCAATCAAAATAATTCAAAAAATATAAAGACTCAATTAACTCAATTCAAATAGTATAAAGACTAAATTATTTTAAATTATTTTTTTTTAATTTTCAGTTTATTGTTCTTTTAAAACCTCATCTTAAATACATAAAATATGTCATATGTGAGACCCAATCAAATAAAACATAAAGTTTTTTTTTAAATTATAATAAATTAAAAAAATAATAAAAAAAGAACCTAAACTATAATTATCAAAACAAAAATATGGTGATGTGCCTACAGATTTTTAGTTAATGGTTCCAATTCTATACAAAAAGTAAGAAATTTTGATTATTTGACAAATTTAAAATTCAAAGTAAAAAAATGGAGTTGCTCCCTCAAAAAACTAGAGATTACGCCACATTGCTTTATTTGGTATAGATAATTTGCTACAATTCAATATTTTTATTTTTATTTTTGAAAAATATATTTATACTTTCTCTCTCTAAATATTTTTTAATTGCATGTGAGTTTGTTTTGTATGTATTTTATTATTTTTAAATTATTATGCAAAATTATTATATTGCATAATAATTTTAAAATAAATATTTTTCATAATTTTATTGTGATAAGATCTTACATATAACACATTTCACAACATTCAATATTGGTCTTTAAAAAATAAAAACACGAGGAATTTTTTTTTAAAAAAATTAATTTATTTTTTATTTGAATTGTCTTGATTGAGTTTTTGCATTCTTTGAATTGTTTTGCTTAAGATTTTCTATTAGATTCCACTTATGACACTTATCATATATTTAAAAGTACTAGAAATGTTACGTCAACTCATGAACTAATGACCTTATAATAGATAACCAGAAATAAAAAAAAATGAAAAATAGAAGGACACAATCAATGCTTAATCAAAATAATTCAAAAGTACATGAACTACATATATAGGCACAAACAATAATTTTCTATTTCTGTTTCCAAAATTTTAAAAACTAAAACAACCATGGAAACCATAAATCCTAAATGATCAATCTTTCAAATCATTATCATAGATATTTTGTAATGCCCTCGTCTTAGGACTTACATAGGTTGAGGGTATTATCGACATTGACCTACATTCGATGGGTACTATGCTTAATCAAAATAATTCAAAAGTACATGAGCTACATATATAGGCACAAACAATAATTTTCTATTTATGTTTTCGAAAATTTAAAAACTAAAACAACCATGGAAATCGTAAATCCTAAATGATCAATCTTTCAAATCATTATCATACATATTTTGTAATGCCCTCGTCCTAGGACTTACATAGGTTGAGGGTATTATCAACATTAACCTACATTCGATGTGCAATGAATGCAAATTAAGAAGGCTCCTCCCTTGTCCTTACTAGTACATTAGCGTAAGTGGTCATTTACTACATTAGGTCCCTACGGAGTGTGGGGTACTAGGTCCTCTTAAACCTAATTTGGGTATAAGTTTTTCCTCTTTAACCTTAAGTTTGATTAAACCTACATTGGTTTCTTTTAAGCCTTTGCTAGCTTCATTTAAACTTCCTCTAATAATTTAGCTATTTTATTTTTTTAGTCTTGCCCTTAACATTCCTACCTAATTCCTTACTTGTCATTTTGATTTGCAATCATTTTCATAATCTTATCAATCATACCATCATAGTCATATTAGTCATCTAAGCACCCTTAAGCTACAACTAACAAAATTGACATAATAACAACTTAACCTTCTATTAACAATTTCATTTACACCAAAACAATATTTGTTAATTAACTTATATACATACCAAAAATGTCTAACTTGCTATGTATGCACCCAAAAATCAAGCTAAGTTATCCTTGATTTCCCATACTCACTAACCTTATTCCTTTTTCCTTTCATAAAAACCTTTTTCCATTTCTTTTCATTAAAATCATGAATATAAAATCCTTTTTCATGATAATGATGTGCATGAGCATATGCATTTGAATGAAATGCATTACAATGAACATGACCTCAACATGCATACCATTACATCCTTAAGAACATGTATAAACATTATAAATCATTCACATATTCTAAATAATTAAGTATGCATGCAAAATGAAACACACCTTGCACATTCCATAAAAATAATGAATATCATCTCGAACCAAGCAAACAACCATCATAATCCATCAATTGTTTTTCATATAAACATAGTCATTCCCATTCCTCCTAATCTTTAAACCTCATAATTAACCTTTTACTTCTTTGTCCTCATTTTTCATACTTAGCCAAATTTCAGCTAAGTGAAGGACAACCTTCATTCCTTTTATCTAGCCTTAAGAATTTCCTCTAGGACATTTCATCAAATATTTGATAGGCAATAGACAAGGTAACTACCAATTTATGCTTTCTTAGTGGTTGTTCACCCACCTTGTTCATGGAACAAGGACAACATCCAACATAAACATTCATATCAATTCAAGCATTCAACATCATTTTTCCTCACATCACACACATATAAGGAATAACAAACCAAGTCCAATTCAATCATAAACATACAATTTTCAATAAACCTAATTACAATCCTTTCATCAATTAAACCCTAAATTAACACCCAATTACACCTTAAACATCAAGCTCTGATGATGTAGGTAAGGAATTATATTTACCTCACTTAAAATTTGGTTAATTCTCTTCTTTCTCCTTTGGCTTCTTCCTTCCTAAAAATTTCAGCCAAATTGGAGAAATTCTTCCTTTTTCCTTGTTTAATCTTCTAAGATGGTTTGGAGGTTAATTTGAGGTGTTTCTAAGTGGATTTAGGTAATTGGGAGTGGTGGATTTGGATGGTTGAAGTCTCTCTCTCTCTCTCTCTCTCTCTATTTTGTCCTAGATTTTCTCTTCTTCTTCTTTCTCCCTTTTTTTTTTTTTCATTTTTTCTCTCTCCCCGTTTTTCTCTCTAAAAAAATCTAGAAATCTACTTTTGTCCCTTAAATTCAACTAGAGGGTCCCCCACATTATAGACACTTAATACCTTGATCCTCCAACTTTCAATCGTTGTAATTTGATCATATAATTCAATCCGTAACTCTATAATTTTTATCAATTTGGCCCTCATCTAGGCCAATCCCAAAGTTAATTCAAATCCCTAAAGTTTTTTAATTATTTCAATTAAGGACTTAAACCTTTAATCCTTGCGATTATACCTTTATGTTTTGCAATTGCACCATTTTGGCAATGCATAATCATATCGCTTAAAGGTACTATTTCCTAATTCAACCTTCCCTCATTCCATAAACTCATTTTATTAATTTTACTTGTGTTTTTTTATCCTTAATTGAACTTCAAATCTTACTCAATCATTCAATAAA